CTCTCCATGGGCCACGTCGACCTCGCCTCTATCCCCGGTATGGACGCCAACGGACACCGGCTATGGCTTGCATCGGCGATCTGGGCCTCCGGCTGCTTCAACCGTTCCGCGACGTCGGCCAACCCGGCCTGGATGTCGCCGTTCGAGGCCTTCTTCGGACGTAAACCGCCGCTCAACGTCGTCCCTTTTTTCCAGGAGGGGATGATGCGCGTGAAGCGCGCCAGCAAGGCGGACGTCCAATCCGTGCGTTGCTTCTACATGCACGGAGCGCGCAACCACTCCGCCGCCACTGCCGTCGTTCTCCGCGCCGACACCGGAAGGATCTGCCTGTCCCAACAACGTCGTGTGGATCAACCGCCGCACCGCCGTGCCGGTGCCGGTACCGGCCAGCGGGGGGGGCTCTTCGGTCACCGCGGCGCCCTCGCCGGCCGCCGCCGTTCCTGCAGCCGCTGCCGCACCGCCACCGCCATGGGCATCGCGGACGTACACCTACACCCCGCCCACAGCGACCACCGCTTCGCCGCCGCCCACTTCTCCGTCGATCTTCACAGGGTCCGGAGCCGCGTCGCCGATCTCCACGGCGTCTTCGAGTGCACCGCCGTCCACCGCAGCCACGCCGCCCCGTCCACCGCCGACACCCCCGCCCGCAAGCGCCGCCGCTCCCGCTCCCCATCACCCGCCGCTTTCACAGCGAGCCGTCAGAGAATTGGGCGAGAAGGAAACCAGAGTGCATGGCCGTACGCGCGGCGACCGAGTGCGCTTCATGGATGAGCAACAGCAACCGCCGTCGCCGTCAGGTGGCGGCACCGCTCTCCAACACCGCCTTGGGCTGCTGTCGATGATGGGCAAGGATGCGCTCGTCTCGTCGCTCGCCACCCGGGAGGCCGTCGATCAAGGACGTCGAGACCTGCCACCGTCCGCCAGCATCGCCCCTCCCGCTCCCCCACCGCCGCAAGATACGAGTTTAGCAGGCCATGGGAGCGGGGGGGCCGCAGGAGCTGGAGGGCCGGGGGGCCTGCACATGTTCGCAGCAATGTTCGCCACCCGCGAGGACGTGGAAGCCACTCTTCGTGCCAAGCGCCCTCCTGACAAGATGCCGGACCTCCCTCACTGCCTCGCCAGCGACCTCCGAGTGCCGAAAACGTTCAAGGAGGCCATGCGGTCTCAACATTCAGAGTTGTGGGATGATGCAGTCGGTCGGGAGTTTTTCGGTCTGTTGGATGCAGGTACTTTTAGTCCGGTGTAGCAACCAGTAGAAAACTTCATCAACGCCAAGTGGGTATTCAACTGTAAGGCAGACGAGTACGGATGGCCGACGAAATTCAAGGCAAGACTTGTAGCGCGGGGGGACATGCAGAGGGCTTCGATTGATTTTGGAGAATTGTTTGCACCCACCGTATCCGTGTCTAGTGTGCGTTTGTTGGCAGCTTTGGCATGTGAGCAGAACCTTGACTTGTGTCATTTCGATATTCAGCAGGCGTTTGTGCAGTCTGAGCTTGAAGAGGATGTTTTCATGCGTCTCCCGCAAGGTTGTGGTAGGTTATCTGGACTGATCGTGAAGCTATGCAAGAGTCTGTACGGTTTGAAGCAGGCGTCACGACAATGGCATGCGCACCTGACGAGGTGTTTGTTACTTTTAGGATTTGTACAATGTTTGGCGGATGCATGTGTTTTTCGATTTATGGAGGATGGATGTGTGATCATGATCATCGTGGTCCACGTGGATGACATTTTTGCCGTAGGGCAGAAGGAGAGATGTGACAAGTTTGGCAGAGACCTCAACGAGATGGTCCCCGTGAAGAACCTTGGGGAGTTGAGGTGGTACTCCGCGTGCTTTTACCAGAGAGATCTAGAGAGAGGCCTTTTGAGGATCTCGCAGCAAAGGTTTGCAGAAGAGTTGGCTGCAGAGTACGGCGTAGAGTGGGGGAAGAGTGTGCCCTTGCCTGTGAGCATGAAGCTCACCGACTTTGACGAGGACGAAGCGTGTGCTGATGTCCCTTTCCGCGAGTTGGTAGGATCCCTGATGTGGTTGGCCACTCAAACCAGGCCGGACATCGCGAATGCAGTACGAGCAGTAGCGCGGTATTGCGCGTCTCCCAAGATGGTGCACTGGAAGGCAGCACTTGGTATTTTAGGGTACGTGCGTAGGACGAGTTGGATGGGGATTACATTTGAGAGGGGTGTGGTGACTGGCATGAGCATGCAGGTGTTTGTGGATGCTGACTATGCGAGCAAGGCAGCAGACCGTAGGTCGGTTTCAGGAGGACTAGTGATGTGTGGGGGTGGGTGTGTGACTTGGTTTTCGAGGACGCAGAAGTGCGTTACGCTTTCCACAACGGAAGCAGAGTATGTGGCAATTGCCGACGTCTTGAAGGAGGTGCTTTTCTTGAGGCAAGTTTGGCGTTTTATGTTGCCAGATGCAGGTATGCCGTGCATTCAAATCTTCGAGGATAATCAGGGAGCGATTCAGATTGCGCACAACCCGATCACGAACTCAAACTCGAAGCACATTGATGTACGGCATCACTTTATCAGGGAACTGGTAGAGAGGAAGGAGATTTCGATTACTCATGTGGCGTCGGAGTTTCAGCATGCAGATTTCTTGACGAAGGCTATCAGCAAGGAATCTTTTGCGTTGCACAGAGACTTTGTGATGAATTTGCAGTGACAGAGGTGTTTTGGGATCAAATCGTGCTTTGCCGTTGAGTGGAAGAGAGAGGATATGTACGAGTTTGAACAAGAGATAGAGAGGGTCAAGTGGAGATGGTAGTGTTTTGGAAGGTTAATGTTCGGGATTTTTCTTGATGATTTGGAAGAGTTGGTATGCGATTGATTGTTTTTGGAGGTATTGTTTTGGTGTTGGAGTTTTCGATTTTGTCTTGGTTTTGATTTGTTTTGGGATGAACTGGTATGATAAGGATGACTTTGATATTTTGTTGGAGCATGACGATGCATACGAGCAGGGGGGCTATTCGATATACTCGTAGCATAGCATGGGGGTGGTATATTGCGTATACATATGCGGGGATTGCAGTGACGAACTACGGAGGGACAAGAAGTTTCTTTGTGTTTTCCTTGGGAGTGTAGTAGATTGGTGGAGATTCATGGAGATTCGTTCTGGGTATTAAAGCGTTATGCGTGACTTGATGCCGTGATGGAATGACGAGCTCAAGCACGCCCCCGATGAATACAACACGTTTTTCACCACGTCTACACGTCTTTACCTACCCGTGCGGCCCGTCATGGCCGAGCTGCTCTACGCTCCCATCACACACAACTGAGCCACCCGAATTATCGATCAGTATATGCAGCAGCTTGGTTAGGATTCGCTGACAATCTCATCTAATCTTTCAGTTTCTGTGGGTGACTGGCAACCTTACGTGGCGTAGTAGCCATACAACCTCGCAGTTTTGTGGGTGACTGGCAACCTTAAACTTACGCAGATAGATTCCATTTGAACACCAGCACCTTCCATCTCCAAGGACAAATTGCGTCCAAATGTAGGAAAATTCTCACGTATTTGGTACATGCATTATCATTCCCAAGCTCTAGCTTGGGTCTCAGTCGATCAAAAGTCTTTTTTTTCCGTCTGTGGAGTTTTCAGTAGCATAGCGGACCCCTTGCTCGACCGGGTCGAAAAGGCCGATCTCAGCCCACACTGCGAACCTCCGAGAACTACCAGCAGTTCTGGGTAGCTGAGACGATTTCAAGACCTCTCACAGCCGTTTGAGCAGCTATCGCTTGCTGTGGGGCGATAACCAGTTTCTCCGTCGACAAGAAGATCTGCGTTACATCGTCACCTCGGAACGACCAGACAGATTGGTTGACTTGTCGTTGAGGGTCCTCTTTTTATAGATCTTTTTGTATAGTCTAAGAGTCGTCTTCATTTTTTTCTTTTGTGATTTTCTTCCTTAGTCTATAGTGACCGTTGTGCACATGCGGTGGCTGCTGTTATGCTCGGAAGATGCTGCAAAGGTCATAAGGTTATCGTCTCTGTCGCTTGGGCTGCACGCCGTGCTCGCGTAGGAGATGCGCATTCCTCATTTTTTCTCTGTGCCGATATCCATGAAGAAAAGCAACGGCAGCACGGTTGAAGATACAGACAACAGAGACGGTCCGCCATAGTTTTTTTTTTCTTCCCTTACATGCATGGATGGGTGGTAAAGCATCGCAAGCGTGTTGCTGCCTTACCTTTAGTGTGCTGCGTAGTCGTAATTTGAGCGATAAGGGGTAGATGGCAGGACAATCTTATTTGCGTAGTGAGGTTTGACAACTGGTCGTTCGTGGAACGGTGCGCGTCTATCGCGACGGCAAAAGCAGTACGTACCGTGTTAAAGGGACAGACAGAGTGCCTACCGTGTGTACAAGGGACAGACAGTGTGTATGTAGACGTTGCATTTCGTGTTTCCCGAGGATCGGATGTGTGTGTTGTTTTTTTATTGCGTACCCGCGTCCATCACGACCATTATTGCGTAGTGTGTCGGCTAATTGAGGTCCTTCCCGTTCGTGGTGTCAGCACACGCGCAACACGCGACTAAAATAAAAATAAAAAGCTTGGGACTAGCAACGCCGACGATATTTGTCGGCTTGCTTTCAACAATATCGGATTGCAGTGGATTTCCAGGTGACATATTTTAGCTGCGTCCGTCCATGTACTGCCGCGAACTCGACACAAGCTGCGTACCCTACTAGTCTAGACTATAGCTGTCGGACATCGTGACACACCTTGATTTCTACAGTATCCATATCCGGAGCACCACATACGCGAACACGATTTCTATAAAACGGTATTCATATATTGCCTGACCTTCCGTTCATTCTTCCGGCCGTGCCGCGACGACTTGATCCTACGTGTAACATTTCTCTATTGAAACTACTTACATGCACTGTACTTCCTTGCGCCGTTTCGTACGCGTACATCGCGTGCGGCGATACAAACCCTTCCCGTCTCAACCGTTATCCCTCCCCGCCCACGCACCCGCCTGTATTAGCCTGCCCAGGAGGAACGGACATTTGCGATGACCCGCACATGAAAGGCCTGCGCGGCCAGCACATCGACTGGTTCGGCGTTGACGGTGGGTGGTACGCCTTCATTAAGGACGATGACATTGATCTGCACGTGAACGTCCGCCTCACAGCACCTCTCCCCGAAGAGTTTCCTGAACGCCAGCTGGTCACCGGCCTCTCGGTCATTGCCGGGGAACACTCCCTGATTCTCGAGGTGCGGACCTCAACTGCAGTGGGGCGACGTCGTAGCATTGTTGTCCCGGATACCTTTTGTCTGGAATCGTCATGTTCGGTTTCGGTCTTTGGTACTATGCAGACGCCGTCTTGCCCGCACGGGACTCTCCCGCCTATTGCATTCTGACGTCAACGCCCACGTCCTCCATCGTCTTACGCCACGCCACTCACCGTACTGAAACCTCTCAACGCGTGTACGTGCTCAAGAAGGGTTGTCATCTCACTCATTTTAGCTGTCCCGTTTTCTTTCATCCATGTCGCTCATTTGTATGCGATTGGTATCAAGACGCACCTTGCCTGCGAACCCGCTGTAGCACGGAATAGACCGGAGAAATCATCGGTCACTGACCCCACTCGCGGGAATCACGTCCTCTGGTCATTTCAACTCATCTCACGATTTTTGCTGGTATCCACCCGACGTGTCCACACTCTTGAACGTCGCGAACAAGCCGTGTTGCAGCTGGAACTCCGGGATGTACAATAGCTTGGGGTGGAATAAGCTTGTATTTTAGTCAAAGCATTCACGGTGTCCCCACGGACAAGATTGTGTATGTAGACGGATGTCATGAGACATTTTGGTGACGACCTGACGATCATCATTCTCTCGGAGACCCAACCCATAATAAAAAATCAAACGATTGATTCAGGTGACGAACCCCTACGACACTGACATTAACGGTGGCTGCCTCGACGGAATGTCGACACCATGCTTGGCCAACGGCGGGCTGAGCGTGACTGTGAATGGCGAGAAGCAAATGGTCGATTCGCCCCTGCTCCACCCCATCAGGTACTGTCGGCGAAACCTGATCGTGACCGCATGGTGCATAAGACTATCATGGACAGCGCCGTAGCTCCTAGCAGCGTCTGGTAGAAGTACACAGTCGGCTACCGCTTGCTTCAGACTTCTGCTAATGCATCGTAACGGCTTGGAAGCCACCCTCCAAGCCCGGGTTGCACACGATGTTTTTCGTTTGACCCAAGGGGCGAGATCCTAACTGGCGGTAAAATTGAAGTTTCCGCGGCCAACCTCCCGGTGGAGTGCTGGCAGTTCGGGGGAGACAAGATCTGGGCCCGCCACTACGCCGATAAGATCGCGCAGGAGAGTCGCAGGCTAAGAGGACAGACCTTCGAAGATTGGGTCTTGAGTTTCGACCATATGGCAGCCCACGACTGGTGAGCTGTGCATGTATATAGAAGGAAGTCGTGACAAACGATAAAACAGAAACATCGTTTCGAAATTTCCAGGACACCACACCGGCGTCGCACGTTCGTGCATGGTGCACCTATCGCACTATATATGCATACCCACGATTTGGAACCCCCCTGCCACCTACGAAGGCTTCATTTATACTACAGTGGTCATGAAGAGAGTGGAGCTGCAGCAAGGGCCACCGCGCCAAAATTCTTCAAGTATCCATTGTACCAAGCACGGACTGTGGCGCAACTTCACAACCATCTATTGGAGACTGGACTATTCCGTGAACCGACGACTCCGCCGAATAACATATTCTCTGGCATCCCCCCGTTTCGAACGCATTATTGAAGGCTATGTTTTGATCACCGTAGATCTGAGAGGGGCAACGGTGTGGTTCATGGCATACGTGTGCATGTGCGCGGCTGTCGAACCAACCCTATTTCGCTCACACTTTTGATCGTTTCGCTCGTTGCCAAGCATTCTTGTCGTTCGGATACACCCCAACCCCGTTGCTACCCCATCAACCATACCAGGTGCACCAAGCACATCACCGAGAAGGGCCTGTCGGATGTTCAGTCCTCTTTCGCCATATACCAGATCATCACACCGGCGGTTGTCGTGCGGCTCAACGTCGGCATCGGGCACCAGAACGGCGTCGAGGTCGACTGGGATGGCCGCATCCTCCCTGACGTCGATGTGTGGCAGATGGACGTGGGTATTGTGGGCCTGAACCTCGAAAACGAAGGGTTGACCGGAATTCTGGGAGAGACGGCCCGCCCTGTGTACGACAAGGATGGGTACGCCGTGATGAATGGGAACGACGCGTTCCGCGGGACTCCCGAGGACTACCGTGTGTCTGCGGCGCTGGGCAAGGACTTCGCCCTCCGCGACACAAGTGATTGAGCGCGGCGACACTACGGCCAGGGTCACTTCGATTTGGCGAAAGCGTTGGCTTTGGCGCCAGAGTACGAAAGTTGTGGGGAGTCACCTCTTGCCTCGCACGGGTGTTGTCCCTGATCGCAGCGTTATCCTGACTGCGTCGACAATGTCATGCCCTCCCGTCTGTAGGATGCGTGTGTGCGATCTATTCTTTGACTAAATTCATTAATCAATTGTATGTATGTACGTAAACGACGCCTCACCGGTCCACATTCGCCGATGTTCTCAGAACCTATATTCGAAAACGACCGCACTTTTTCCGACCCCACTTTCTGCCTATTCACTTGATTTTAGAATTGGCGATCTCCGGTCTATTCTCTAAAAGCAAGTTGTTTTCCTTCGGTCGTTTTTTCTCGAGATACCATAGATAAATTTTCGTGTAGGTCGGAAGAGGTATCCCTCCTGGCCCCGTCCACTCCTCCTGCAAGTTTGGTGCAAAAGCTTGTGTCAGCTTTTAACAAACGCGTCCGTTGTTGAATGTCTTATTCGTAGATCTCCGCAGTGCGAATGCGAACAACCGAACCACCCCCTCTCCTCTTTCTTTACCCCCACTGGTCGTAACTACCGCCTCTCCTACGACGGGAAGGATTCATGTTCGCGGTTGGTTGAGCACATGCAGGAAAGTCGACGAATTAGGACACAGCCCAGAACACAGCCCAAGGACACAGCTCCCGTAAACAACGCCTCACAAATTCGCGATAACTACTGTGTGTGTGACAAGGCAGTGCTCCTAGAGGCAGAGCACATCTCACAAGCACTCCAGCATCCTCATCAGGATGTTGTGTGCACTTTTAATTCTGCTCCATCCAGACTGACTCTGGACCACGGTCACCTCTCGACAATGCATAAGGCAGTGGTTCTCCAACCCTCTGCTTCTCTGGAGAGATCCACCTCTGTGGCTTCACTCTGGTTCTCTACATTCTTTCTGGTCTCCACTGATCAAGTAACTACACTTCCACCAACCCATCTTCATCTCCTTCGGACTTCCTGCGTACTCAGAGCCAAGCCTCTTGTACTAAGAGTCCAGCGGCACAACAAGTGAGTTGGTACGCCGCGCTGCAGCTGTACAGACACGTACAGGCTCACACGCAGCACTTGAGTTTTGCCTTTGACCTGTAACAATGAGATTGCACAATCGGGTGCTCTGCTTATGTACATCAGTGGTCGTTGCTGCATAGGGTTTGTTCTGCTCGCGCGAGACACTGCGGAGAGAGCACGCACCAACTCAAGAACAAATTAAGACATGCTTACTTTCGACGACAATCTACAACACCTCTTTGAGAACCGATACGGGACAATCGTCAACATCCACAAGCCTACATCCCCAAGACTCACAAGGCAGAGCAGTTCTCACATCAAGCACTTCCTCCGGAATGTACACCAACCAGAAAGGTGCACAACAAGCTGAACTGTACAAATGTTTGGTCTCCTTCCAGACCGTCGACCTTGGTTACACTTTGATACTGTAGTAACTCTTTAGGACTAACCGATGTTGAACGTAGCAAGGCTAGGTTCTTCTGAACGTAGCAAGGCTAGGTTCTTCACGTGAGCGAGGCTAGGTTGCTCACCCCACATCTACCCTAACCCTCACCCACGGCCAATCAGAACGCGTTAGTCCTAAAGATCTACTATCAAGGTGTAACTACTCGAGCACTCGTTGCGTATCGGGAAATCTAGACGGGGTATGTATATGAATATTATTCATATATACCCCTCCGCTGGAAAAATATATGGATATTTCCTGATATTTGAGGAATTTTCAGAACAGGTCCGGATATTGATGTATAGGGGGTACATATTGGGGTATATGTAATGTCTGATATATCTGGGTATAAATAGGGGTATATTTGGGCGATCATTCAAGAGTTATTCCCCTACAGCCGTATGTGTACGCGAACAACATACGTACGTATCTCGAAGTATACCCTATATATTCCTGATTATCGATGTGCGATGTACGTATATATCAATAGAAATATACCGATATATACCCAGATATATCAGATATGCACTAGATATGGATATTTCCTTATATATTCGGAATTTGCCCTGAAAAAAACATATATGAATCAAGGGGCGCACAAGCAAAAATATTCCCGACACCTACCCCGGGGGACGGGGGGGGGTACTCATAGTCGTGCATGCCGTAGTCGTTAGACCATTGACCTCGCATCCCTACAAAGCCGGGACAGAGCACGCCGGGTTCTCACCGGACCAGGCTCTCACATCACCAAGCGCGAAGCGCCGTGAGGTATTTGGCGAGTCGCATGAAGGGTGAGCTGCATCCTGCTAAGGGTGTTCGGCATCTTGTGCTTACTTCCTTGCGTATGGATGACAGCGGCGTATGACTTAATTTATTTTCTGGTGCTTTCACTTCCAGAGACAGTTTTAAGCACTGTGTAACGGCCTCGAGGATGTTTGGCCATTTGAACACAACGTAGTGCGATCATCCCCCTTACGCGGAGTGAGGTTTCTCCACCCCGCACAACATGATCTACTCGACCACCATTCATGGTTACCGCCAAAGAAAAACGAGGGAAAAAACGGTAATAACCTGGTTGCCAAGTTCACGAAGTGAATAGGCTTGTTTTACAACGTCGTTGCCAAGCGACGAAAACCCAATCCCGATGGCAAACACCGAGGGGGGGGCTTGTTTTACAACGTCGTTGCCAAGCGACGAAAACCCAACCCCGATGGCAAACACCTAGGGGGGCGGCTGGTTTTACAACGTCGTTGCCAAGCGACGA